TCCAAAGGTCTTGTGGGATTCTTTATCTTTCAGGTTGCCTGATATGTCTCCAAACACTGGATGTGTTGCTGCACGAGCTTCTCATTCGTCAAAGCTGGCAATATCATCAAGTGTTACTTGTCTGTTTTCCTTTTCACTGATGATGTCAGCCGTGAAGCGCCATGTTTCTCGGGCATCGTATGGCAGACGATTTACAATTCCTTTCAAGCTATCTGGGTTATCTATCTTGCTATGATATTCAGTTCCTTAAAATGTGTTCCTGCAGCTGGTCAAAAGGACTGAAAACTTCTGTAAGGCTTCCCCATCTTCAGATTTAATTTGTGGTCCTTTTACAACCTTGTCAACATATGCAGAGGCGATCTTGTAGGGTTGGCCATACCTGCTCTTGAGGAGCCTCCTTGCTTCCTGGTAACCTTTATCTGAATCCATCAGTGAACAGCTCTGCATCAAGTCTTGAACAGCTCCCGAAGTGTACTGGACTAACTAATACAACCGTGCACTGTGGCTATCGGTCCGTGCGTCTATCAATGTCTCAAATCCTTTCACAAACTTGTTGTACTCAATTGTATTTCCACTGAACACGGGTGCTTCAGGTTTGGGCAGTGTTAAAGTCAAGGCACTCCTTTGTTGCTGTGCTACCACTTCTTCGATACACTTCATTTTTCTTTTTTGAATAGGCATCATCTTAGCAAAGTCATCTTCCTTTGTAGAAGACTCGTCCTTTTCAGTCTCCCTCTTCAACATAGTCAACACAGGGAGCGTAACTAGTGGTCGCGCCTCATTTGGCCATTCAGGTGCCAGTGGATCAAGAGGAGATTCTTCAATCTTAATCTTCGACTTAGTATTACGATCAACTTCTTCAATCTGTTCTTCAATTTCATCAATGTGAGACAATTCACCACACTCGTTTGCCTCTGCTTTAGCATAAACTTCGTCCCTTGCAGCTGACTGGGTTAGTTCCATCTTCATTTTCAACATCTCTTCTTGTTGCTTCAAGTGAAATTCTTCTTCCTCCTTTATTTTCTGTAACTGAAGCTTTCTCTCTGCTAATTCCTGTTTTTCCTTTAACAACTTCAATTTTGCTTCAAAGGCTTTACGGTTTGCTGTTTCCTCAATAAGCCTCCTTCTTACTGAACTAGATGTGCTGCTGGTATGGGACACCTTCGACACTTTACTTGACTTCGAAACGCGGGAAACTCTTACTTGGGTGATTGAATCCAGAGGTGTTACTTCATCTTGCAGTTTAGCACTTTCTATGGCGTAGATCCACGTGGAGATCTTCTCTTTATTTCACAAATCGCTTCGTTTTCCTTCTCATAATACTTTAAAGATTCATCAATTTTATCATCATCGTTACTGAGTTGTCCATCAATGTCCAAATCTTTCTCATACTTTGAAAAGGATTCGTCGGTTTTCTTGCCGGATAAGCTCATGCTTTCCAGTTTCTTGAAATCCCCATTGTTTAAACTAATGTAGCCGCTCAATCGATCGGTTAATTTTAGAGTCTTTTAATCCAGGTTCATCAAATAAACGGCATACAAATATGTTTCTGAAAGTAGAATTACACAATCGAAACTTGCAAACGCGAAGCAAAAT